GCTGGGGGATTGAACCGCGGTCCCTGATGCTTTGCCAAGCTTGTTCTAAGTAGGTACCTTAGACCACTGAGCCATCTCTCCAGCCCCTGCATTTTCTTTTTGCCATTTTTCTTCCCTCAGACCTGTCTGAGGGGCTGGGCCCACACTGGCCCACCCCATTGGCCCTGGTGGAAGTTCAGCGATTCTGCCAATGTGATCAGCTCTCTATCCCCCATAACCAAGCAACAGAACCTGGCTTCTAGGCAGTGCTTGTGTCCCTGGTAATGAGTGGGTGGGAGGAGAGGGTCATTGTCTGAGCAGGCAGGATGAAGGAGCACATCCTGACCACCGCTCATGCCATGTTTGTTGTCTACCTCCAGGGCCACTGCTGACTGCTCCTCCAGCCCCTGAGGAAGATGGGGCCAAGAAGACCACGCTCCCTGCCTGTCCCCCTGGCCGCTTCTCCCCTCTGTCCTCTTCGTTCTCAGCTCTCCTGGTCCTTCCCTCAGCTTCAGACTCAGGGGAGGGGTGGCCACAAGCCTCAGTTTGAAGCCTGCCTCTATCAGAGGTGCCAGGAGTAGCCATGGTGCCTCTTCCTGGGCATCTGTTCTAGTCTTTTGATCGTTGTCTTATTCTGTGGGGGGTGGGGAGCACATGCCGAGTCTCCATGGCCTGTGTCTGGAGGGGCACCCACTTCTCTAGCCTGGACCCCTGGCTTTGCCCAGCACCAGCCCTGACCCAGCCCAAGTCCAAATGTTTACAGGGAGCCTCCTGCCCTTCCTGCCCCCACTACCGCTCAGAGGCCCCAAAGGAAAAAGCACAAGAAGTGTGAGACGCCACCATTCCAGGAGACCACAAGTCCACCTGCTCATTCTCATAGCTTTTTTAAAAAATGAAAGTAAAGGAAAAAAAAAAAAAAAACCTGCGAACTTAGAAGACTTTTTAGAGAAAATCTATTTAAAACTGTCAGATCCTGACCAGCACCCACCCGACCCCCATTCCAGTGATTCCGTGCCTTGAGTGTGTCTGCGTGTTTACACCTGTCCCTCTGCTGGCTGCCCGCGTGGGTGGCGCCCTTGCCCTGCCCTCTGCAGAAATGGGTTCCAAGGGCTGTTGCAGACAACTGCCAATGTCACTGAGGGCCCCACCCAGTGGCCCTGGGCCCAGGCTCCATTAACCCAAATGTAGCTCCTTAGCGCTAACCTAGAACCACTGCTGCCTGCTGAGGGGCCAGGCCCCTCGTGCCCTTGCCCCAGGCCTGGGTCCTTCCGCGTTGAACACTTCCTTGCTTTTTTCACGTTTTATGGAATTGTTCACATGGTTTGAAATAATAAAATGTAGAAAGAAAAAAAATATCCGGAACTGCTGGGTATTTTCTCCTTGGGACAAGGATCAGAGTTGAGATGTGCCAGGGCGCCTTTGGTGCCACCTCAGTCCTCAGCTTTGTAGGTCCAATGCTCTGAGCTTGTTTTCCTGTTTGGCTTTTTTTCTTTTTTTTTTTTTTTTTTTTTTGGCAGAACTGGGGATTGAACTCAGGCCCTTATGCTTGCCAGGGAAGCGCTTATTCCACTGAGCCATCTCCCCGGCCCTGTTTTCCTGTTTGAACTGGTTAACAGACATACTGGGGTCCACGTCCCCCCCCCCCATTTCCTACTGTAGCTTGGGTCTGGGGCAGTTTGGGACTGGCAGAGCAAGTGGGTGGATTCCCTGAGCTTTTTTCTTTTTATGTTTTTGACCCTACTAGATGTTGAACCCAGGACCTTCCTGGCAAGCGCGAGGGCCTGAGTTCAATCCCTGGTCCGCCAAAACAAACAAACAAACCAGGGCCTTTTCACAGAGCTGCATTCCCAGCCCTTTTTTATCTTGGAACAGGATCTCACTAAGTCACTTAAGATGTCCAGGCTCAACTTGAGATCCTCCTGTCTCAGCCTCTTGAGTATTGAAATTACAGCCATCTACCATCGGCTTTGCGCTGACACCAGGTTCTTCTAAAGGATGGAGTGTCCAGCCAGCCTTTTGTGCCAAGAGGGACTTTGACTTCGTAGGTCCCAAGTCCCAGGAAATATGTTCGAGTGACAGCCGGGTGGGCTGCAGTCTTCTGGCCTAACATCTCTACCCAGCAGTCAACCTCCCTACCAAACCTGAGAGGTGGAGATGGCCAGTTGGCGGTATCATGCATTGGTCCTGAGGCACAGAATAAGGAGGAAAGTGGCAGTGCTGGAGTTGTGTGAGTGGGCCCCAAGTGGCAGCACAGAAGCCCTCAACTTTATTTCATAAATAGCAGAGGCAGCCATGGGCTGAGCTAGCAGGGTCAGAGACCGGCGCCTCCGGGTCTAGCCGCCAGGGGGCGCCGTAACTTGCTCTGCGACCCCTGCCCGTCACAGGCTGACGTCATCAGGTCCCACCGAGGCCGCCCCGCACAAAGGAAGCTTTGTAAGGCGAGGCAGCCCCGCACCCGCAGCCGAACAAAGCGCCCTGGGGGTGGGGGTGGGGCACAGGGGGGAGGTTGGTGCCGCGGAGGCCGGAGGGAAGAGACTGGGCTCACCCTCCACACACCTGCTGGTGCCCTGCGGTCACGGCACGGCGCTGGCCGGAGATGAAGGCTGCGGCTGCCGGGTCGGAAGGGGATCAGCGCCTCCGCCCCGCCTGTGCTCGCCTTAGTCCCCGGGCGCTTCCGGCCCATCCGCGGATCCCTGCCCGCCACCAGACCCTGCTGAGCCCGAATGTCCGGTCGCCGCTATGCCCGCCCGCAGGAAGCGGCCCCGGAGACAGTTCCTTCCTTCTGTCCTGAGGGGGAGCCCCGCACAGAGGGACTATTGAGGGGCCGGCATTGTTTGCCCGGCGCACCCAGTGCCTCCCTCCCTGGGTGGGCCACTCACGGATCTGGCTCTACCCCCACCTTGTGCCCGCCTTGACAGTGGGTTTGGGTGGGGTCCTGGCAGCAGGGCTACCCTGGGTGCAGACAGCTAGGCCCCCACCTGCCTTTGGCCCTCCTTCCCGAGCTCTAGTTTCCAAGGCATAAGGCCCCATTGTCCCACAGGGGCGGGGGTGGGTTCTCAAATCAGCCTTGTCTTTGGCAGTTGGGAAATTCCCTGCCATGGGGGGGTGGCAGCAAGAGGGACTGCCCAGGTATCCTGCACCCCAGTTGGATGGACTCCACGAGGCGGGCATCCTCCACTGCCTAGATCTGTCTGGCATGGGGTTCAGCCCTTCCTCATTTGTTGGGGGCAGCTGGGTGAAGAGAGCCAGAAATTCAGGGATCCCCGTCCTGTCCCCAGGGTGCTCCCACCTAAAGGCCTGTCTTCCTGTCCCCATCATGGCCAGCTGCAACTGTGTGGCCAAGCACCTTTAATAAACATATTCAGAGCCAGGTAGGGACCCAGGGTTCTGCTCTCAGTATGCAGTGGGCTGTCACCAGCCTGTTGAGACTGCCACGAGATCAGTCGGCCTCCAAAAGGGCCTGGCCAACTTGAAACAGTTGCTTGAGCTACTGATGTGGCGGCAGCCTTGGTTTGTTTTTTTTTTTTTTTTTTTTTTTTTCAGCCTTGATATTTTTAACCCATTTGGGGGATGGGGGAACAGCTGGGAAGAGAGAGACACAAGCTCTAAGAGTGAGGCCCAAAGAGGGAGGGCATTGGGATACCCAGTGGGAAGGATGTAAGCAGGAAGCCCCTCCTCAGTTCCCCAGGCCTAGCAGGTGGGTGGAGGCCCAGATGCCAGGTGCAGAATGGGGAAGGGGCCCTCCTCAGGGTTAGAGCTGGGGCTTCTGGTCCTGCAGGAGCTGCCACAGGCTAGAGGAACCCTCTTCATGTTCCAGGGCAAACTCATGGCTTCATATGTCAAGAAAGTTTGGGCCGGGGAGATAGCTTAGTAGAATAAGCGCTTGCCTAGCAAGGGCCTGAGTCCAATCCCCGGTTCCACAAAAAAAGTTCTATACACACCCTTAGACCCAAAGTCCCATGCCAGCCACTGGAGGGGCATGCATGATCATACAGTTCCAAATAATTCTGAAAGATAGGGAGGAGCAAGGACTGGCTGAATTTTGGGTCAACCCATCCCAAAATACTGACCCCAAGTCCAAGTCCTGTGTCTGTCTCCCTGCTGTGGGACTAGTACCCCTCAATTCTCTCTTCT